ATTTTAGTTTACCTAATTTTGTAATTTCTATTTAAACGGCTGCAACGAATTACTCATTCTAAAAATTAATTGAAATAAAAATTAAATTATATTCTTTTGATTAACTTTCTATTTCCAACTATAACTATTTTAATTTAATCGAATACTGTTAAACCGTTTCCAGCTAAAAGTCAGATTTTATTTAATTATTTTATGATTTGCCATCCTAACTTATATGATCTTAACTTAAAAATGGATTCTCGTTAATGGTGTATCTTTTGGATTGGCTCTTCAAAATTGGGTATTATCTGATGGTTTAACTTAACGTTTAACTTAAATTTGATTTATTATTTTAATACGGGCTAATTTCTTTTTGTGTACTTAGAAAACCGACGCATTTGTATGTGTATTTGGTTTTTGGGGTCACGGGGTCAATGATGGCCAGTGCACACATTCATCAAGCTGAGTTGAGCTGGCGCTTTGCCACTTTAAATAATTTATAAATGCGACAAATGTGAAAGGAACTTGGCCATAAAGCTGCTCGGCAGAGGATTTAGGGCTGGGCGCCGCCCCTTAAACTTTAGTTACGCAAATCAACAAACAAATCAACGGCACAAAAGTGGAAATCCTTTGCCAGAGCTCCTCGAACGATGCCTTGCTCCGACTCCTGTCAGCAGAAAATTCGTATTCGGCTATCAAATTGTAAAGTGAAAACCGCTGACTTATTTTTTTCTCGCAGGCAATATGTGTGCGTGCATGTTGACTGCCTGGCATTATGCAAACAAGACAGATCCTGGGCAAAACCCTTTACCCCTTCTCGCAATTCGCATTCGCTGTGCGCACTCAACGTGTTTCGTCCTCGCGTTTTTTGGAAGTTGAGAATTTGCAAACATTGGAGCATGAGGGCGGGGAAAACGGTTTACCAAAGGATTCGCACCTAAGATGTTTGAGGGCCAAGATAGAGAGCAGGAACAGATGCCACGAGGTGCCACTCCACCTTGGCAGTTATGATTTTTAAGTGACGCCAACGATTTCATTTTGCGATTTTGAGGGTTTGTGCAAGGGGGTTTTTTGGTTTTGCCCTTTGTTTAACCTTAATTTTAAAGCCGAAAATAATCAAATGGTAAAGAATCCTCTTTACTACCGTTTTCTTACCAATTTAAAAAAAAAAAACTTACTTATTAAATTATAAAATAAAATTAACTTACAAATAGTAAACAACTTTGCCTAAATCCTTTTTTTCAGTAATTAAAAATAATGATGTTTTAAACAAAACATCATATTTCTTACATTTTAGACAACGTCTTAAATTCTCTTAAATATAAAGAATATGTATTTTAAGGTCTTTTAATATTTGAATAAAAATGTATTTTATTTTAAACAATTTATTATTATTATTATTATTATTATTATTATTATTATTATTATTATTATTATTATTATTATTATTATGAGAGAACCCCTGATTAATGATTTATAATTTGAAATATTGGTATTTTGGTATTTTTAACTACAAACTGATGTTTCGGATATATGGTTGAAATATATTCAGTGGCATTAAATTTATTTTCTGACCAATACAAAAAACGTATATAAGATCTCAGCTTGTGCATTATTCGTTTTAATGAAATGTGTTACATCAGGATAATTTCTTTCGATTTAGAGAAATGTTCGCTTTTATTTGGCATCGTAAAATGTAGAGAACGTTGTATTTATGGTCGAAATGACTGCCCCCAAGTTTTGATTATCAATTAAATATATCCCCAGTCAGCTTTAAACAATTTCGCAGGCCTTAGCCTTTAGCCGCCTTAAATTGCATTAAGCGGCAGCGCAAATCGCGAGTGTCGCCCCACCACATATCATATCACATATTGATCGCAAGCCCATTAAATATGCATTTGCTGATATCGCCTAAATCCGCACCGAAAACAGCTTATGCGGCCTTCGCCGTGTGCGCCACATACTCCGCGGATGTCGATGCGGATGTGTGTGTGTGAATGTGAGTGTGAATCCGTGTGGGTTGGTTTGCGTGTGCGGTTGACAGTCGTAAAGAAATACATGGAAATCCGGAGAGCCAAGGAAAAAGCAAACAAAACAATAGAATTTAAATGATTTTAATGCGACCATTGAATTTTATTGAAGCCGACGGATGTCGAGGCATTTTGGGCGCTTGGTTATGAGCCATACGGGTGTCATATGAATACCAACCACGCCTCCCCTTCATTCGCACTGACAATAATAATAATTGTCATTTGCAGCAGCTGTCGCACAGGCGGCGCCCACGAGGCTTCCAATTTTTTTCATATTCAATTTCAAATGAAATTTTCATGTCACACCAGGCAAACATTCAAACCCCCACCCCCCCCTCCCCCCACTCGCTGGGTAGCCATTCTGGTGTAAATTTCACGTTAGCTCTTTGCCAACTTAATTCCAGGCGAAATCTTTGCATACTTTTCAGCAGGCTACGCAGCTGTTGTAGTTTTACCAACCGATTTTTATTAGCAGTAGCCGTAGCCGAAGATATGTGCGGTGGCTGGAGCTTGAGCTCGAGCTGAGCTATTTCGGTTTTAAGTTGAGCTGCTTTGCGACTGAGCTGCTTACAAGGTATTTGCATATTAGCCTGTCCAACGCATATTTTGATTAGAAATTGCTTCAGGTTTCCACACGTAGTATCCTTATACATCCATATCCTCAAGGTTGAGCCGGGCTTGGCACTCGGCCTTGTTTCGGAATTTTGGCATATGAAATTCGTACGGATTAATATTTCGAACAGGGTAGTCATGTGTGGCGTTTGATATTCTGTTTGGGCCAAATTGCCTACTGGGAGCATTAGTGTAATGTTTACTATATAGTAGATATAGATAGTTTGACATGCAAAATAATTGTTCAATCCAGTTTGGTCTAGATTAAATTGCTAAATAATAATACAAAATAAATTAAAACATCCTTAGTAAAAATTATATATATCAAGTAGTAAAGCCAATCTAAATTTTATAACGAATTTCCCAATTAATTATTCCCCAACTTAGAGTCAAATTACATGTCCAATTAAAATTTATGAATTTATGAAAGATTTCTGACTTTTTTTTTGTAAAAGCTTTAGGTTTTAAGTTATGCAATCAGTTTGCTGTCGTGATCAGGGAATGACAGCTACGCTATCGGTTTCATCTCCTTGTTGCCAGTTTTACCAATCAATTTTGGTCTCATTTGGGTTGAGCTTTAATTTCATTTGGTGTTTTCGTGCGGATGCCCACTGGTGCCGGCGCCTAACTGCATCACTTTGAGTGCTGTCAGACAGCAGAGTTCGCATAGTGCAAATGCTAATGACGTGTGTTCACAGCCGGGCTCGAAACAGGACCTCCCAGGACCCCCCCCTAGCCACCCAAGCCCCATAGACCCCACAGACCCCATGGAACCCACAAACAACAGCCATAATAGGCACATAACAACATTATCATTAGCAGGCGCAGGCAGCACATTAAATTGCAATTGTTGTTTCGCCGTGGAGTGCCAGTGGAGGTATCCTAGATGGCACTAGCAGTAGCAATAGCAATGGCAGTGGCAGTGGCAATGGCATCACATCTGCAATCGGACTGTAAATGCATGTGTCTAATTGATTTTGTTGCGTGCGGCGACAAAAGCTTCCTTTCGCCAGGGCCCATGCGTCGTATGCGTGATGTTGATGGAACAGGACAGAAGAGCAAGTGTGGCGTGTACTAAAACTAAAATGCATTTTAAAGCCGTCTTAAAACATTAGCAGCATGTGCCCAAACTACCTGGCTAGCTGGCTACCTGGCTTGCTTACTTGATTCACTTTATGTGTTTGCTCACAAATTTCATTTTGATGAAGCCAATGTGTGGGTCCCAGTGTGTACCTATGTGTGTACCTATGTGTGTGCCCAGCAGCCAAGAGTTGTTGTCCTTAAACTAGCTCAAAAGCCCGAGCTGAGTGGCTGCGCCCTGCCCATTCCCAGTCCCACTCCCACTCTTGCCTAACTGCCTCGTCATTAGCATATGTAGTTGAGGGTCTGGCCCGAACAAGACAAGCAAAAAAGTGTACAGCATCCCACACCCAACAACCCGCTGGCTGGGTTTGAGTTGAGCTGACAGGCGAGCTGTCAAAGCGGATTTTAGAGCACTCGCTGCCAGGTAAACAACAACAAAGGAGCACATTGGCCAGCTCAACGAATGGGAAATGCCCTTGAGTAAATCTCAATAAAATAGTCGAACTAACGGCCTAAAAGAAATGGAAATTACGAAAGTATTTAAGGCAAATTTGCGCCTTCAATTTTGGGTAGTCAATAAAGTTAGATGTATAAGTTCTTCTTTATCTACTCCCATTTAAAACTGTTTACTTGAAAAGCAAATTATCTTGACTTGATTTCCGTTTATTATGTTCCAACACAACAAATTCGTAAATTAAGTCTAAAATTATTAATTTTAGATAATATGGTGGGTTTATCTAAAAAATAGAAACAAATTTAAAAGATATATATACATATTTTTGATGTTTGAGTAAAATAAACAAAACATATAGAAAATCGTTGAGATGCAAAGGCTCTAAAATTTATTCACTGTAGGCAAGCTACTTCCTAATTTCAGTATACCCCTAAAACGTTTTGCAGAGCAAACACCTGTCATGGTTTGAGTGTTGGCCAAAAGGGTTTAACTACGTATCTCACTTGTTTCTGTGTTGTCGTTGTTTTTGCTGCTGGCTTTGTTTTTGCTATTGCTGTGGCGGTTTGCCCTTGGCCAAAAATGCATTGTGTTGGCATATTCACGTTTGTGCCGTCGCTCTGCGGCTAAAAATTTGACAAGCGCCAGCTCGACGAGGCAGGCGAAGGACATCATGGACCCGAAATACCTTGTTAACATATGCGTGTGCATATACTTAATTTCTGCCCAAATGTAGGGCACTAAATTTGTGTGATAAATGTGGCCGAAACTTGATGAAAGGCGTGACTCCGAATGTGTTTACTTAGGACTTGAGACCCTTTACCTGTCGGAAAAATTCATATTTTCTTAGGCTAGTCTATAGTCTATAGTTCGGTTTAATTACAGAGCAATGAAGTCCATTTTCGACATACGTTCTGCAGGATTTCCATCGTCATCAACAAGCAGATGGACGTCTGAGTACTGAATCTTTTCCAGTTCGGCATATACGGACTTGCTTATGTCGAGTTCTGGGTACTTTGAAAGAAACGTTTAAATTGAGGTAATTGGATGGTTTGTTATACAAATACTAACCATTTTGGCCATTTTCCAGCATTCCAAAGCAGTTTTGTTTCGGCTTAATCTCAGGTTGATGGTGGCCAAATATCCCCAGACATCGGGAATAAAGATATCGACTTCAGTGCAGCGAGAGAGAAAAGGAATGGCTTCTTCAAGTCGATTAAGCTGTGGATGTCATGAAGAATTACTCTAAATTAGGTTTTCTTATCAAAGCTTACATGGTAAAGTGCCAATCCCTTTCCAAAGTTGGCCAACAAGTTCTTTCGTCTGTGGCTAGAGGGCACACAGAGATCGAAGGTCTTTTCGGCCAGCTCATAGTGTCCATTTTTTAGGGCCAATTGACCAAGACGCAGGAAACTCAACCTAAACAAAGCCTTGTCATTCGGATCCGTCGCTAGCAACAATTGCTGGAAGTATTTCAGGGCTTCGTCGCAACGTCCTCGCGAATATTCCGCACTGCCATTAATATGCAGTTGGTAACAGCGCTGGATAAAAGTATTCAACTGTTTATAATTTCTTATCAAAATGAAGCTTATCCCACCTTTAACTTTCCTGGCACACTGTTATCCGTTGGCATCATAACCACCTTAAACTTATCATTAATCTGCCGCTGGAGAATCTTTAGAGTGGTCTTTATAAGATAAGCTTCGGCTTCCGTAAAGCATAACTCTATATTGGCAAACACAGCCTCAGCAAAGGCGTATGCTCCCAGGCGAGCAAAAAGCTTAAAAACAGGGTAGATCTGGGTGTTCATCGCGGTGCAAGAGCCCTTCATTTCGAAGTCAACCGGCAGATAAAGTTCATAAAGGGAGCTAGGTGTGAAGGCCAGAGTCTTGGGAGAAATTTCGAGGAGATTCTGAAACTTCCAACGCGTGAACTCCATTCCCGGCAAATAATCCACTTCCTTGTAGTAGCAGTACAGCAGAACCCATATCTCCGTTTCCAGACTGTTTTTGTGGGCGAACTGGTGTAGACTCTCGATCATATTCGTTTTTGCTTTGCTCAAGACTTCCTCGTCTGGTGATCTCAGATCCATCATGTAGTTGATATAAAGCTGCAGTAGCAATCTGCGCTTAAAGAAAACAATATTGAGGTGTTAAAAAAAGGTAGCGGAGAGTTTGACTACTTTGAGCTAATGTTACATACTCTTTTATGTTATAACAGCTACATTTTTGTTAGTTAGACTCACGTAAAGTAATGTCCGCTCCAGTCGGTGGTCCGTGGTTTGATGAAATACCTCGCCGCCTGCTCGAATTGCAGGTTCTCAACGCTATTTAGCAGCGTTACAAACTCGAAAATGGTTCGGTTGGAGGTGCTGCTGTCGAGCTCCTCGTAGATGTGGATGGCCAAGTCCCGCTGCCCAGTGAGGCTGGCCAGTCGCATTTCGTTCATCATCCGGGTCAGGCCATGCTCCCCGTACTCCTGATTGGTGGCACAGTCACAGCTATTTTTCCAACTGCAGGCGGTGAAGATGCCCTCAATGCGTTCCATCAGCTCGTTGTACACGTGTGTCAGCATCTCCTGAATAGGTGAAAAACAATAAATAAATAATGGATAATATAATATATATACAATACACCCACTCTAAATTCAATGTTCGTTTTCGTGGGCATGCGTACGTTGAAGTCGCAGCCGCAGATTTTCAACACCAGATTGCTTAGGTTTCCCAGCTGGCAGCAGAAGAAATCCTTCTTCTCTTTGATGTCCTTGACATCCCGCTTGATTATGAAGCCGATTGTGTCGGTAATGAGATCATCGAAGTTGCGATACAGCTCCAGACACACATCCGCATCGTTCACGTCCTCCTTGAGAAATTCCATGTCGAAGCAGCGCTGCAGCTTTGACCTTCTGAGGAGGCTCTCGTTGAACTTGTCCAGGGGCTCGTTGCGCTCGCAGATTGGCTGGAAGAAGCAAATCTTGAAGGTGCAAAACATTGGGGCCACTTGCAGGGTCTCCCTCGGCAGGCTAACTTTGATTTTAGAACCCACAACGGGCTTCAAGTGGATGGCAAAGCGGCAGTAGTTGACTGGGGGAAGGTTCACAAATGTACAGCCAAAATACATGGCACAAAGAGCCGTATATCTTACCACCTGGGTAACCAAAAATGCTGGGATTGAGGACTCCCTCGTACAGGACATTGTTCGGTGTCTCCTGGTAGAGTTGCAGCAGCAGTTCGTAGTCGTTGTGAACAACAGCCTGCTCGAGGATCTGCCGCAGCTCCTCGTTGAGAACAAATCGGTGCAGCGAGTTGTTGATCAGGGCCAAGTCCGATACAGGATCGATACTCGCGACCTGAAAGTCCACATCCTGCTCCCAGAGCAACATGCGAAAGAGGCGTGGCAACTTGACCCTGCAGCTGGTCTCCATTTGGTTGAAGCTGAAATGCTTGTTGTGGTTGAGATCCCGCTTAATGTTCTCCCACACAATGCTGGTGTTCTGGTCGCTAATAATCTGCGATATAAAGCCGAAATAGATGCACAATGGCATCACGCCGTAACCACCATCCTGCTCAACCGGCTGCTTTGAACGAAAGGAAACACTGAGTCCCAGTTCGGCGGACCGCGAATGCAGTTCCTCCGGCACATTGTAAATCGATTCTAGGGTCATAAAGGCCAAATTGGTGAAGTCAAAGTTCTTCAGGATGGGCAGAATGGAGTACATGTGCCACACGCTGCAGGTGGTTATTTTCTCATTGGACTGGGCCTGCGAAATGGTCTGGTATTCCGGATACAGAAAGATGGTGATGTCGCTTATAAAGCGGCGTCGCTGGAAAAGCTGCAGCAGATCGCAGTGACCGCGGGACAAGAGTTCCAGCCGTTCCTCCGCAATGGCGTCATCCTCCTCACCACCCTCTTCGCTGCATATCCTTTTACTCGACCTCTTTTTGGGGACACCTTCACCGCGATCCGAGGGCTCAGAGTTTGGTGGACTCACTGCCTGGGAAGATGCAGAGCTACGGGACTTTGTCTTGGCTCCTTTGCGACGTTTGGGAATCCTTTGGTAGAGGGAGATCAACAGCGGCTGATCGCTGAACTCGTTCATGTCCTCGAGGTCGTCCTGCATCACACCCAAGGCGAACACCGGCTTCTTCAGATTGAACTCGTGCTGGTAGATGATCGTCTCCGTGGTGTAGCGCTCCTGCATCTTCTGCAGCGTGTTCTTCGGATGGTAAAGGTGCAGCTCCAGCGGGTGTTCCGTCTTCGGCAGCTTGCTCATCTCGTTCAGCTGGATGTAGAGGAACACCCTCTGCTTCAGCGCTTTGGCTCCAGCTCCAGCGGTCGCTCCGTCTTCTGCACCTCGGTGGGCTTGCTTTTTATGGCCTCGAGCCCCCCGCTCGACCTTCTTCGCCGGCCCTGCCTTGAAGTTCGACGTACGGTGCTCCGGCCGACAATGCTAGACCCATCCATTGTGACTGAAAATATAGGTGTGTTTTGATTGAGTTCCACTGGCCTTGACACCAAAAGCGCAGATTTCCTACTTCCTATATTCGAAAACCTATTAAAGAGTACTTTGCAAAAGTAATCCGATTGTGTTTTATATTTTAAAATAAAATAACAAATTTTTTTGGTGTAAGCCAAGTTTTTCCTTCAAAGTGAAACATTATAATATTTTTCTTTGAAAATATGTTAGAAAATTTTTTAAAGAAAGATTTGGTATTTAATAAAACTGTTTCGTCAAAAAAAAAACCGCAAAATCATTCCTTTTTTACGCGAATTAACCTCACAAAAGCAGAACAAAATTTAAAAAGCTATCTTTAGAGAGCTTATCAAATTTTAGAATAACTTATTCTATAACCAGAAATTTAAGTAAAAGAAAATATTTTACTAGTTTTTAGATAAATCCTAGTCAAGACCTGCATTTGTATAGCCAATATTAATTTTAGTCAAGAAGCTTAGTCTCTCAAGAAAACAGTTCAAACAAGTCAGGTTAATGCCATTCTTGACGCCCATTCCTAATTTTAAAATAACTGAGCGCAGTTTGCCTGTCCTAAGTCTTAACCCCACAACAAACGTCTGGAATACCTCCTTCAGACTTGAAATGCGTATCCAATTCTTCGTCATACACCCAAACCTTGCAGAAACTGAAGAGGTTACTTACCCGCCCTCCAAGGCTCCTCCAAGACTCTGCGTATCTTTTATTTAAAACGAAAAAATGTTTTATGTATTCTGATGCCGACGCCGCGGGATTCTAAACAATAAACACTTCAACAAGTTGGCTGCTTCGTTTTCATGCGCCCTCGCAAATTCCAAACGGTCTGGCCTAAAAATCCTATGCCATTTGGTTTTGAATTGTGCTGCTGTTTGGGTTTTATGACTCCCAGACATATAAGTTTTATTAGACACGGTGGGGTCGTAAACAATATTTCGGCAAAGTGTTAAGAAGCAACTTGAATATCATATGACAGGTTGAGAATTAAATTCGCCAAGTGCTCACTGGCATCTGCAGCCGCAGATCCAGTTTAATCAGACATGGTGCCCGCCGCTGATTCCACTCAGAGTGCGCAGTGAATTAGGGCAATGTTTTGAATTTATCCACCGATAAAAGCGTTTTCTTTATATTTTCTTACTCCCCAGTGCCACGAAAGCCAAAACAATTACACGCCAAGCTGTTAGCTGGTAATTAAATAAGGCAGAGCAGACAAAGCGGAGCGTAAATTGATTTAAATGCGCAAAACTGAGGGCAAAAGAAGGAATATTTGTTTGATTTAATTTCCAGTCTCCCTGACTCGAACTTCCAGTTCGTAAGTGTCGGTTTTGTGGCACTTTTCGTTAGCCTTTTTTTATGGCTTTCAGCAGGACGGTCAAAGTCAGTGTAAAATGCATTTTTGAAATTAAACTTTTGCGCAACTTTCCCCATAAATGTGCGCACACGTAAAAGGCAAGGACAAGAACAATAAAAACGAAATAAAATAGGAGAACAAAAATTACCACTTGACCTGTAACTGGCTGGAAAAAATACCAGCGACTGCGACTATATAAAAATATTGCAAATTTATACAAGCCAAGGGGTATTTTCGTGAGCGCGGATTGCAATGCGTAAACTTATGCCATATATTGCATTTATAACGGGCTCGCACGGGCTCCGAATATTATTATTATTTAAATGTGGGTCAGCTGAAATTTGCATAACGAACAGAGTCCTTTTCAACTCAAGATCGTGTGTGCGAGTTCCTTGGCTTCGACTTCATGGCTTCCTGCACTTGTGCCATCGTCAAAGGAGCCGAACTTAAAATGCAGCGCTCACAACTTTAATATAACTTAATCCTTTTGCGGCGCCTGTGTGTGTGTAACTTACGAATTATGGCGTTAATACCACTGTGTGCTTATGAGTCCGCTTTCCTAGTGTGTGTGTGGGTGCGTGTGTGGGTTGTGTGTGCGTGTGTGTGTTGAAGCTCGTGTTACTTTAGCAAGTTGACTTTAGGGATCATCATTAGGGGAGCGCTGAGTGTATGAGTGTTTGCCAACATGCAGCTTGCGGCTTGAGTTTGCTCCAGCAAAATCCCAATGACGTCAGAAGCTTAGCATCGTAGCCATGCCACAAAGAAAGTTATTTATGGAAATAATGCTAATTATCACTGTAAGCTAAAAAGTTGAACATCGAGAACCCTAGATGGGTTACAATGGGCTCAAGTTCTAGGCAAAGGATGAGTTTATATTTTAATTCCTAGAAACGTGAGACATATACAAATTAAATCAATGCCTGCTCACGTTGTCAAGGTGAAAAGCAGGAAAATTTCCGCATAAATTTTTCCAACTTTATGGAAAAATTCACGATTGCTTTGGTTTGTGTGGATCACTAAAGGAGACTTCATCTATTTTGTTAACCGTTGCAATTTACTAATATAAAAGTAAAAGCTTAATAAAAAAAAACGAAACTAAATACATATGTAACACTTTGCCAAAAAAAAGCTGATTAAGAGTATGGTACAATAAATTTGAAGTCCGTAAGTTCGTACGAATTATTCCGAATGCTGGCGTTCTTTTTTAATTATAGTCTCTTGTAGACTCTTTGGCACAAAACCTTTTCTATCAAATTCCTCAGCATATTTAAACGAACTTTTATAACCACTCCACTGCTTCCTTGTAGGGTATCATCTCGAGAAATTGTAAAAGCCAGTGAAAAAATCGGAAGCCACTACAAAACCAGTTGCAACCCCTTGGCCACACTTGCTGCTCGTATCCTTCACTAGTGGGTACAGCACCACAAACAACCTGAGTGAGTTTCACCGGCAGCATCAGGGCCAAAAGGAGGCGATGCGGGGAATCCCCCCTTAGTGGCACACGTATGCCGGAACGATTACAAAATGCTGAAAACGGAATTTGCAAAATGTCACGTCTGACGTTCGTTGGCAACTAAGACGGAAATTTACCACTAAATGACGACCAACCCCCGAAACGAGGAGGCACCCTCACGGCTCGATGAAGTGCAAAAAAGCGCCCCAGACGAGCTACTGCAAATTATGGCCATGTTATGCTGAGCAAAAAAAGTTCCCCCAAATGGAGCTTCAAAGGATTGCACAGCAGAGAGTAGATTTTTCAGGCTTGATTTGGCATATGCTTAATGCCACACTTTGATTAGAGAGATTAAAAGTTCACAGTCACAAAGGGAAAAAGACTCAGTCGCTAAACGAATACGGCTTATTGACTTCCGATGGCTGCATCATGGCATAACCGTTCCAGCCGCCACAATCACCACCCGCATTCCGCTGCAGTTGCACGTGGTATTGGCCGTAATGGGATGGGATGTAGGGATGGCCCATGGCCATCTGCATTTGCTGCCGCTGCTGTAGAAGCTGCGCCTGAAGCTGCTGCATCATGGCGAAGTTGTGGTACTGCTGCTGTTGCATCCTGACATCACTAGGATGACAGGGTGCGCTCTGCTGCACCTGTTTGGTCATGTACATCCCTGCTGGGGCGTCGGATGTCGGTTGTGCCCGCTGGGAAACAATGGGTTTCTGCGGCGGGATCTGCATTTGTCGCTGCTGCATCTGTCGCTGCTGCATCTGCAGGCGCTGCTGGGCCGCCGCTTGATGAGCCCCCATGGGCGGCTGCATTGGCACTCCGTCCACCAGAACTGGATACACGTTCCCGCCGAAGACGAGACCGCTGCCGTAGGAGACCAACCCGCTCGACGATTGCTGACTGCCAGCCGACCTCTGCACTCTAGACATGCTGAAACTATGGCACTATTTTCTAACTTAAATTTCGATACTCAAATTTGTACAACCGCACACCGAAATGATGATCGAAACACTGGCTAGAGTCGGATAAGATATTGACAGCAATTTCTGTGCTGCTCTCTTGACAGCTTTTTGAAGTACTCATTATTTTGCCACATGCTACTTCAGAGCCTTAGCTTCGGGAATATGCTTTGATTCATGAATGAAAAACTCAAAGGATTGTACACCATATCAGCACGTACACTCTGAACTGATACACAGAGTTGGGGCCAAAGGAGAAATTTTTAATTAAGACAAGAGCAGAACTTGAAGTAGACAGCCCAGACTGCCAGAGTGCAGATAAAGGGAAGACACAAAGAGGTGAAAAAGATTACTTTTTAATACAAAAGATAGCCATGGCTCGTCAATTTATATGAAACACAATTAGAAACTCTTCCTATCTGAGAAAACATATTTGAAAAATTAATAAAACAAATATAAAATAAATAAAATAGAATATGATATATTCTGAGGGGCATTTTGGTTTTTGTAGCCCAAAAGTATGTTTTTATTAAAAAGTATTTATTTAAAAAGGGATCTTATTGTCTAAAAAAAACTGCTGATTTTTGCTTGATGAAATTTAAACATATCTGTTTGTAATTGAAACTTTTTTTACTTGTTTACTTGCTTAAGTGCTTGTCTTGTCCTTTCTTTTATAAAACGGATGGTGATTAAATTTAAAGTTGATAATTAATTAATTCTTACTTGGTTTTAAATTTGGAAAGGGGCAACAAAATGTATAGTTGATCGCAAAAAATTCAGCCATCACTGATCTAGTTCGTCTTTTTCTTCTACAGTGTGCCTTTTATATCCAGTTCAAACTGATTTGTATGTCAGTTTGTTCTAGATGTTTTAGAATAACAAACTAGTCAAAAATCAAACAAAAACATATTCGGCTGACCGACATAAAGACCAGAAAGTACCATATCCAGGCCTTTTCCTCTTAAAATTAAAGTCCCATCAAGCAAGTGAGATGGTAATCATGTGGAACCAAACACTTTGTAATAAGCCTTATAATTCATAGGCAACTGACCAACATGTTTCCCGATGACTTCGACGTGGAACCCTTCAATCCGTTCAATGTGGGGCCGCCCAACAGCGGAGCTCGCTCCGAGTTCAAAATCCCCACCTGCGTTACGTATCCGCCACCGGTTTTCGTAGCCCAGCGAGAATACTCGCAGGAGGCTCTTGGATCTGCCTCCAAGAAGTCGCTTGCCCGGGACAGCAAGCCGAAGTTGGGGAAATCAGAGCTGGGTGAGGTGGCCATTTCCAAGGCCATCAACGAGGATATGGCCGTGGCCAAGAGGCAGGCCTCCGCCATTCATGAAAATGGTCGCATTGGTGCAGGTGGTGTTTCCAAAGTAAAGCTAGTCGAGGATGCCCAGTCGAAGGAGGCCTTGGAAAAGGCCTCGCTTTGCACCTTAATGCCAGTGCGGTCAAGTCGTCAGGCAAGTGGAGATGGCAGAGCCAAATCGAATCCATCCTCTTCAGACTCCAGTGTGGCTTCCAAGACGAGTAGCGCTGTCAAGCCAAGTCAAGCCAGCATCTCTTCCAAAGCATCGAATATATCCCAGACAAGTTCTGCAAGCACCAAACTCACTCCCAAGTCTATTTTGAAGTCTCCAAGACCCTTGGAGCTAGAGAAAACTAAGTCAAAGGTATCGCAAAAGACCTCAGAAGCAATCTCTTTCGAGGACAGATCTCTTAAGCAGCAAAAGTGTGATTCTGGCAGCCAAGGATCCCTGGTGGCAAAGGCTTCCAAGTCTGTAAGTCAAGATTTCCAAAAAGATGAAGCAACTCCCTCTGAACTTGGCTCCAAATCAACCAAGGCAGCCTCCTCGGTCGCCATAACTAAGCCGAATGTCAACAATTCAAGTGTCCTTCCCGAATCGAAGGATGGGCCCAGCTATATTCAGTCTGAAACTGCCTTGTCCTACAGACAATCGCTCAATCAGCAGGCTGCCGAGTTGGCAGGTCGCCTTAATGCCGGCAATGAAAACTTCAGGCGCTACAATTCAGTGGCACGGAATCACTCGATCGCCGTGCCACAAAAGTTGTCGCAAGGGGATCGCATGACCTTTTGGTTCAGCGATGCTGTGCTCTCTTAACAAACTAATCGCTACAGAAAAATATAACTGAAAATTAGCAGTTCTTACAAACATTATTTTTTAAAACTTGCATACCATTAAAGTTTATGAGGCAGAAAAGAGGAAACTAACCTGATTTGCGGTTTAACATTTTTTGCTGATACTCTGTGTGATAAATTCAAATGCGCTAAAAATTTGCGGTCGCTTGTCCGTTTTGAATGCAATAGGCCCATAATACATGCAAAAAAGTGAGTTTCATTTTGCAAAATAAATTCGAACATTAATAAGGTATTGCTCGACACACGCTACTGTTAATTAAAAACATATTTGCATTCCTGGTCATTGAAAATGCAGCATAATATGTGAATTATCAACAATTAAGGTCTTTGCAACAAGTATAATGTGCGCTAAAATAACAACATTTGCAAACTTTTCTGTTTCAGAAATGAAACCGAAAATCAGATTAATTTGAAAATGTTTTAAGGTACTTATGAGCAAAGTAAACAGTTTTAAAATCCAAATTGAAGGCCAACAATAGTTGTATAAGAGCTTGCGCCAGAATTTCTGTTTGAAAACTAAATTAATGGGGACAATTTGGTCGAGCGTTTTGTTTGGGGTATTGTGGTTAATTTTACTTTATTTATTACAGCGCAGAATGCTAATTGCAGCTGCCAGCGGGCGACGACGACAACAATGTTAGTTTGTTGCTGCTGGCTGCCTAATCAGCGTCAGCTTTTGGCCAGGAGCTGTGGACTGCGGAATTGCGGAATTGTGGGCCCTGAAAATCAGAGGGGGGGATCCTGAAGGGTGTAACAATTATAATAAATGCCTGTGGCTTACATTTAATTGCATGTCAATTTGTAAGCCGCTGGCCCGAGCACACTCGTCCGTAAGTAGGCCACAATAAATGAGGCGGAGGCGAGGCAAGTGCACAAAATGTTTATATGGAAATACGGCGATTTTATGCTTGTACTTGTACAATAAAAGGAAACAACTGCAATAATGGCTACGGCGCATAAAGTACCAGAAATACCAGCAACAAATAACTTTGCTAGAGTGCAAAAAGCGACAACAGCAACAACAACGACAACGACAAAGGCAAAACCAAAGGCTTCGAAATGAAACAAAACGCTGAGAGAAAAATATATTTAATACGAAAAGTTTTGCAATAACGGAAATGAAATGGAAATGGACGCGCGCCAATAGACATAAATGCGAGTGAGCGTAAGTATATGTGTGGGTATCTGTGTGCGGTGCCAACAGGATACAAATAGGACACGGCAGCCGGAGCAGCCGGCAACTACAAAAACTACAAGAATCACAGTCTCGGTGCTGGAACACTGGCCGTGTAAAACAAAAGCGCCATCGCACAATGCCGCAAAAACAAACAGCGAAAACCAACACGGATCTCAAAAGTAAAACTAACAACAATATCCGCAAAAAGCAATTGCACAAAGGCAAAAGTGGCAACGCCATCAGATGCAGCCCACATTGCGCCTATAAAGAGCATAAAATATTAAAAAAGGTGGAAATATGTATGCGGCGGTTTTCTTTAGAAATATTTCCAAAGTAATTTGTACTCAGATAAGGGGCCAAAACGAACGAATTAGTTTGAAACTTGCGGCACAAGCCTCAATTACTTTCCTACTATCGATTTTGTTTCACAAAAACCATTAAGTGTAAAGTTTAAAAATAAATAATAATTGTATTCCTGTTCCGTTTGCTCTACATTTTGATAATGAGAACGAAATAGTTTGAAAGTGGCGGCACAAACCTCAATTATTTTCCAATTTTTGTAAATATGGGTCACATGCATTAAGCATTTTGTGCTTAATTTGAATTTAATTTTTATCCACTAGGGTTTTTAGTTATCTTAATTTATTTAGAAAATTTTTAATTTGACTATTGAAACCCATATTAAATATTATAGATAAATAAAAATTTATTATTTACATAAATTATTTAATACAAATTTTTGAAAATAGTCAGATATTTATTTTTAACATTCCAATTTATGTACCTGTCAAAATTCAAATTTAAATATCTATTTAAAGTCGTTAGGCGAAACATTGTGTTCCATTAAATACTTGCTTTTAACATACAAGACAGTGAGAATGTATGTGCTCCCGAATGGGTAAACAAGGCCATGCTAATTAATTGCTGCTCTAGAAAGGAGTAAGTAAACACACACTCACACACACTCTATAGCTAAACACACTTCAAACTGTCGCAGTGCAGATATTAGCTGGAATGCACACACTATCGGTCATGCGGGAAAACTTCAAATGCGCACTTTAACATCCGACTTTGGTGCACATGTCTTTTTGTGACCGGACCACATTGCGTATGCGTAATATAATTGAATTAGAGCATTTCGTAGCATGCGGTCGCCCGTGGCAAAGGCACAGTAACACAGTGAACAAGGGTCAAAGCTTTTTGGGAAAGGGCTTAAATTGCCTAATAATAAAATCGCGTATTCGAGGCAGCTTTTGACACTAACTGTAGCCTAGAGCGGATTTACTATTGCAATAATTATCAAGTTTGATGTGAAGTCATTGAGTTGAGACCTGGCCAGTAAATTATGCAATATTATCCGTAATCAAATATTACATTTCATGTTTATCTGACAGGCTCAAAGGGAAGCAAGTTTTTGGCCTGCAGCTCGAAATAAGTTGGCTGCATTTAATAGCCAGTGTAAAGTGCCCCGGATTGAATTTAATTTGTCCACTTTGCCCAGTTCAACCTTAGGCGACATCTAATTAGGTATTTACAATTATAGATGTCTGAAAGGGAATAGCCCAGCTCCTGCTAATTTGATCACGGCACACGGCATGTGTACAATTTACTAAAATATGTTTCAAACCGAAAACTACTTCATAATTGTGTTGGTCGAATGCGTGACAAATCCCCCGAGTCACGCTCTAATATCCGATTTTTATATATAACAATTTTAAAATTTAATGTTAAAGTTACGCCTGCTTTTCATTGCCTCCATGCGCACTTTTAATTAAGCCTAAATGCAGTTGATTAACAAATTCAATTTGCACGACGCGACGGCGGCTGCGGTGGAGCGTGAATTTTGCGCCGATGCAGCAAGACTTGCATAATTATCGGTGGGGCATTAAAACGTTTACATTATTATCTGCGTTTCGTTAAAATGTAATTTATAATTTGCATAATGATAAATGAAGAGCGCTTTTAGCAGCGACTACAAATCAGGGCGGCCAAATGGCAAAAGTGAATTCAGAAAGCGGAGTCAAGTCAGCGGGAAATGATTCATGGTCCCATTGTGAAGCTGCGGCTCTGATTTCGTAGTGAAAGTCAACCGAGTCATTTGTCGTCATAACTTTTGTCATTAAAAGCGGCGGAGACTGGGCGTGGCACCGACTACGTGCCGTGCGGACAAAGGCAGTGCTGCCTTCAGTCAGTCTCTGTATACCATACATTTTTCATAACATGCTAAATTTATACGGCGGTGGAGGTGGTGGTGGGGTAGGTGGCTTTGGCGGTGCGAGTGTGTGGCTTTCCCAGGACAGCCAAGTCACGTTCCTAAATATGTCTGTGTATGCGGTCGCCTGGATAAGAGTCCGAGCTGCCTTTTGCGTGTGGGTGCGAGTCTAACACATTTTTAATTTATTTTCATGCCACTGCTTGGCACTGTGGTGTGGATTTAGCCACTGCCTCAAGCAGCGGGTTAAGGGCCTTCTTGAACCCTCGAGTGCCGGTCAGGCTCAGGCTCAGCGCCAGTCTCAGGCCGAAACTGAGGACCTGAGTGCTGTCCTCCCCGAAAGTGAACAATGCGGCACACTCATGTGTCCTGTGACTTTGTTTCAATGCCTTGAATCCACGATTTTAGTGCTCACGTACAACTCATTTTGGAGAGTTACTTGCCGCAAAAACATATTAATTAAGCAAAAGTTTCGTTTTAAAGCTTTTTTTAATTAAACCCAAAATACATAAAATGTTTCCAGTTCAATTACATTTAAATAAAACCAATAAAATACACAAAAAAGCTTAAAATATTTGTTCCTTTATGTTCACTGATATATTTATGCCATTCATAAAATTTGGTTCGAGTTTTACCTCAATATTAAGATTTGAGTGATTTTTTATTATGTTTTAATTTTATTTGCAAAAGTTTGGTTTTTTAAGCCAATTACAAGTTTGTAATAAAAGTTTTTAATAGTGAATTGTTTTATTTTATATCATATCTGATATTGTTAATAAAGTAGGCCATGATTCTTTAATAAAAACTGTTAAAAACTGTTGTAGTTTATTGCTAGCAACACGTTGAAACGATTCATCAGATTGTATTTAGCTGAAAGTATAAGAAAGTAAGCCATGCTTTTTTAGCATATATTAAATAATATATTAAATATTTCTCAGTTTATTTTAAGCAGCGAATCGAGACGTGTAATTGGATTGCTATTAAAAAATTTCCCTAACGAAATTATCAGAATAATGGGTCAATTCGCTGTACAAGTCTCACGTGTGGTTACCGCGGCTGCCGTTTTTATTACAGCACACTGGCCTTTATGTCTGTTAATCAATGTAATTCTGTTTTCAATTGGTGCTTTACTTTGGAAAGTTGGGTACCTACAGCGACTAATACCATACATCTGGAGAAGTCTACAAGAAGAACCCGAAGATGCTGAGGAGGACGATGAAAATTGGTTTGGGAACCTGAATCCGGAACAGAGTGTTGAGCTACATCGCCGTCAACGTTTCGAGGCAGCAGCTGGAGTGATGGAAAATGTTGCAGGTGAAAAGCCCACTAAAGAGCCCCCACTCAGACGAAGGGAAACTTACGGTTAAGCCTACAAATACAAGACAAAATACGGGTTGTTGCTGCGCTGAACTGTTGAACCATATACTAGACCACTAGCCCACTAGCCCATTAATCAAGAAACTTCAAAATAACACACATAGACGATCACAATCGGAGGCCTTGATTTCTGGGCCATGACCGGATATCCAAATAAAATCAACTAAATACAGTTCCATGCCCAGTCGTAATCCCTTGAAATTAATTTGCTGCCATTGCCTTCGTGTCAGGGGTCTTACAATTCCGTTGGCCGTTTTAATTGGTTTGCGAGCACATAAGCCGGCCATAAGTCGCCAGGTGGAATTGCGGCAAGGGGTAAAAATGGTTATATATATTTGCTCAGCTGGCTGGAGCCAAGAACTATGAGGGGCAGTCGACTCACGGCCTGGACAATTGTGGCGAATGGAAGGCGCTTAAGATTAAAATGCGTCCTGGGGACTGGATGTGATGGCAAAACCACAAAGCAAACACAAACACAAACAGAGATGAGGGTATGAGCAAGTTTAAGGGGTAGAGGGGGTAATACTGCAGTGGTAAAATAAATATGTAAGCAATAAGCAAAAAGGATAGTTGAATGTGAAAGTACCCTACAGGCTAAAAGTATTAAAGAATCCAACCCTTTTACAAAGTTTACATTCATTACTCACTGCACTATGCATCAGTTTTTATTCGTCGAAAATTTCTGAATTTTAAATTATTGGGGAACTATAATTTTTCACTAAGATGTGTATTGGATTAACCCCACGAAAGCATCCAAATAAAAATTATGTGGTTTAAAAAAGAGAGGCCTTAGAATACAGTTTTAGACCCGGAATAAAAATGAAAATTAAAAGTATAGTGGAATTAAGACTTATACTTTAATACTGTCTATAGTTTACTTTTAAGACAAACTTGTTAATCAAAAGTTTTTCTTAAGAAATTTAATCAAAGCTAAGCATATATTTTTTAATAATTATTGAAAAGGGGAACTATCATCTCAGTGAGTAATCAGGGTATCATTTAGTCGACAAAGCTCGCAACTTTGCCGCCCACATGTCCAAAAGCAAACATTTTAAAGTTCAAAAGAAGGTTCTTAACCTGCAGCCGGGGGCGGATGTGGCTGTTGTTGCTGTTGTTGCTGTTGTTGATGTTGCTGGTGTTGCAAGAGTTGCTACTGCTGCTGCCTTTGTGCAGTTGCAACTGCTGCTGTGGGCTGCTAAATGAAGTGAGTGTCAACGCAAATGCAAACAAATGGGAGGAGCGCATAAAGCGAAAAGTAAAAGGCGTCGCAAATCAACAGAGGACTTCCATCAAGTGAGGCGACACGGTCTGCCACGCCCCTACGCCCCCGGTGACTCTCCATTTCGACTTCAACTCCCCGGCCAGACAAATGAGGTCAGTGCTCCGGGCTAGCACTCCCATTGTTGTTTAGTTTTAATAATATTAATGCACACTAATGTGCACAAAAAAACATATATTTCTGGCTTAGTTGGTGGCCACAAAAGGTGTTTTAATGAAAGTTCTTGGCGTAAGAGAAGTGTTATTACTATTAATTCTTTTTTAGAAAATATATTTCCGTTTAATTAATGACTATGGCACAGCTGACTGTAGCATTTGTTTTTGTACTTGGATATAACAACTTCTTTAAAGTATATAAAGGAATTTGCCTAACAAATATATAATTCAACTCATGAATGTTTATGGTACTATGAAGACTGTGTTTAAGAGACGTTTATTTAGTAAGTCAACCGAGAGTAAAATTCTTTTAAAGCTATTCAATATAAAAAAAACGTTAAAATGTTTCCGTCGTGATTTTCCCACTTAAGGATTCACTTCAAAGCTTCTTGAAAGTTATGTGTTGCTCGTATTCTTTGTTTTGCCATCCTCAAACTCTTTTTCACCCTCTCAAAGCAAACTTTGCATTTTGTATTTGGATTATATGCATGGCTAGTTATTTTTTGCCTTGCATTTTCCATATCATTAATTCGCCAAGACCCGTTTTTCATTGTTTGGTGTTTAAATGAAATTTTTAATTAAGAAATCTAGCGGAGTAGAGAAAAGTCTTCGACTTCGATGAGTGGCCGACCAAAAACTTGGTCAATCCCTGCTCGAGTGCCATGCCATTTGTTGGTTTTCATAAACTTTATGCATTCAACGCTTGCTGGAGCGAGAGTTTGCATTTTGTTTTAATTTATTTCCTCTTTTTAAATCTCATTAAGCGCATTTGCACGCTGCTGTGCATCGATTACCAATGAAAATAATATAAATTAATCTTATAATGAATTTATATTGAATTAATATTAAATTTAGTTGGCATTATCATGTACGCACCAAAGTCAAACAACAGCGAAAACAAAAATGATTAATTCCATCAGGAATTTTTGCTGCAACGCTTTGGTGGATTAAAACATTGGGTCATTGTTCGATAAATATCACAAATAAATACGAGATTCCAAATGTAAATATAGAAGAATATCCATAATTGCAATTGACAAGCTAAGTAATTGCTTTGTGACCTGAAAATGATTCATCTAAAGCAATCGAACTTTATATACCTTATGCTGATGGATTGTCTTTTGTAAAAAACTGCTAAGAAGTGCTAAACATTTATTATAATGTAAGTCTCTTCAGTAATTTATTTCAAACATAATGAGATAAAACTAATTTAAAAAATGTAGCAGTATAATAAAATAAAATTCGGTTCATGATGTGTTCATTTTTTCGATTTAATTTGGTTGGCAAGTGTAATGGCATAAGAGATATGCTATTTGCACACAAATTAAATATAATTGAATTTCATGGAACTGTGCTATTTACATAATAATAAAAATACTTATTTCATTTTCTGATATGTTGAAATTTTTGTTCAGTTTCACTTGAACGCGGCTTTATTTTATTTTATTTTATTATAGTTTGTGCTTTTGTCCTCTGGCTTGGCATATTATGCCATCAGCGGCGTCTATTCCATCTCAGACATTTCTGTACATATACTCGGATGTAGCCCTCGCGAGCTCGCTTTTCACAATGGTGTGAATATTTAAATTGAATAAATGGCAAATTGCATGCCAAGGGGGCGCAGAAGTGGGCGGGGCTCACGTGTCGCCTGGTATTTGCATTTGGTTCGCTTCTACGACTCTTTCTACGCCAGCAGCCTGTTCCCTACTAAACCATTTGAAATCCCTGCTCCGGTTTCTCTGGCATACAGTGCATACATCTGTCTTCTGCTCCTGCACGGCGTATTATTTCGTTGCATTCTCTGCACTGAAAGGACCATTTGTGTGGCAGCATAAATGAAAGGATATTCCCGGTGTTCAAGGGGAAGTTACTAATATAAGGTAAAAAAAATATTGCACGTAGGTAAATCGTATGAACAAACACGTATTTATCCCAAAAGTTAGGATTTGATTTGATTCTTTTCTTTAAAATGTTTAAATTGAAAAATATTTTCAATAATCAATAGTGGTGTGGTATCAATATAATCTTATTTTTTCCGGAATTTTACAAATTTTGTTTTGACAATTTAGTTTTGGGTCATTCATTTAAAACTTTAGTGGCGACCCTCTCCGAGTGTCGTGTTCGTTCTCGCATTTGTGCCAAGCAAACTCATTCAAGTGGCATTATAAACTAAGTTAAAGCGACAATTTCTCCGGTACCTTATTGCTTGTTTGTTTGCATTCGCTTGTCGCTGCAAATCGAAGTTCTGTTCTTGTTTCTCAGAACCAGCCGACTATTCCCTCCCACTAGTGATTGTGTTACCTGAATGGAAATGACCCCCACACCTGCATTCTCTCCTCCATCCTTGGATGGGTCTGAATTAAGTAGAAAACACATTTCAAATTAACTTTTTACAACGCTCAATGTTCTAAGACCATTTCTTTAATTAGCCTCGACTTAAGCCGGAAATAATCTGTTAACTCATGACAGCAACGAGAATCGGCTTCTTGGCGGAAAAGAGAAAACAAATATTATAAACGGCGGTATGTTGAAAAGGTCGAGCATCGTTGTCTGAGTGGTTAACACACAAGCTTAGAAAATATCTTCTGGCACTTCACTTTGTCTCAGTCGGCAATTAGGAGGCGCATTAATCATACGCCACGTTGCCAATAAACTTGTTAGGGTCATGAATCAGCGACAGTTCAACGACATTTGCATTTTCTTCTATACACTTAAACAAAATATATGTGCTTGGTGCTGTTCGCTCCTAGCTTGTCGTGTTCAAAATGCAGTCCTGTACTCCCTAACAGTCGGGGTCAACTATAGCATTCCTTCTTGCTTATAATTATTGGTAATACATTTTTAATTATAGCTGTTTTGCGGTTTTATTTGTTAACTTTGCTTGTAAATCTTAAAGTCAAGCAATATAAGGCAAACTTTCCGTAGGTTTAAATTGTTTTCTTCTAGCAGTTACTTAGTTGTACTTTGCGGTGCAAATTTTCTGTCAGTGTTCCGTTTCAGCAGCTTCTGTGGTGGGACTTGTCTTGTTGACTCTGCATTATCTTAATTGTGGTCGGCGTAGGACCTGGCACGTGTGCAGAACGCATGTGTGCTGGCGCTGCTATTTTGGTGTGCTCCAGATGAAGTGCAGCTAATGACATTGTTTGCCGTGCGGATGCGCGATGATGGATTGCCGTCGCCAGCTGCCGTGGAAAATTGCCTAATGCCGCAGCGCGTTCACTGCCGAAGGGCCCCTACCTGCCCATTGGCCCACCTGCCGACGGGCTGTCAATCTGGATTGCTTGTCCGACAATGACACACCGCCGTCTGCAGTCCTGGCTACCTTGGCTCCTCCTGGTCCTGGCGGTGCTCCTCTGTCTGTTTGCAGGACCTGCGGACAGCTGCTGCCGCTGCTGTCTGGGCGAGAAATGTGCGGACGTGAGCTGCTGCGCCTGGTGTCCAAAATCCGCCTACTCGCCCTTGAAGTGATTGAAAAACTTGGACTAACTTGGAGTAGGGTACATTATTGACTAACGAAAAGCCTTTCATATTCATTAAAGCTATCAATTACATACTTATTAACCATCCAATTTATTCTAAAGAGATGACAACGCCAGATGAAAGGCTTAAGAAAAACGTGAACGTAAATCTGGCGTTGGAAAAAAATACACTTTGATAAAGAAGTGCTAGCCAACCAGCCAATGAAGGGTCCTGAAACAATTAATTTAAACTCTAAAAATATATATAAAGTGAATAACTCAAATCTGCCGTTTGAAGA